CTATGCCGAGTGTACGTAGGTTCATTGGAACAGGCGCGCCACCGCCGTGGATAGCCGCTCACCACTACAGCTCGTGTTGGTGCGTCTCTGAGCCCCTAACCACCACCCAGTCGTGCGCGTTTAGCCGTGGATGGTGCTCGACCCCTTATTCCCATCTTAGCGAGTCTAGGTTGCTCAGCGTAACAACCCTATGCCGTCGGCCGCCATGTCGGCAAGCGCGGGGATTCCATTGACCTGCCCTTGGTGAGGACGAAAACAACCGAGGGCCTGGTCGCAAAGCCACTGCCGATAGGAACAGTACACATGGTAGTCGTACTATTACCTCGAAGCTCAGGGGCTTTTCTGCAAAACCGCCGTCGCGCGTGGGCCCCCGGCCTTGGGCCGTGCTGGGCCGCCACGACGCGCGCACAGCCACGCCGAGCTGGGCTGCCGGGCCTGAGGGGTTGCTGCCGACCCTTTTCTTTTTCTAATGCATTTTTAATTTAGTTTCTAAGGTAAACTTAAAAATTCAGTTTAAAATTGTGTAGTTAACCAAAAATTGTGAAACCAATTTTGTTCAGTTCCTAAAATTATGATCTATCTGCTAGTATATTTTGTTCATATAGTTTTATAATATTTACAAAAGTTATCTAATTAATTTAAGATGCTTAATATTGTAAGATATAAACTTGTAGGAATGGTTGTGATAAATTGGTGATAGTGTTGGCTCTAAAACTTTCACCGTAAATTTCTCACAATATTAGGTGCTCACTATAATTTTTGTAGCTCCATAATAATTGGTTTGCTAAGGTAGCTAAATGAGTCCTAGTTCGAAAATATATATTTAATTCATAAAATACCAAAACACCTTTGGGATTGTAGGACTAAAACATTTTTTCGGAGACAAAGCCTTACTTGACGACGTGGATACGTAGACTAGTACGTTAGTCATTAAAGCTAGCTCATTAGCATGCAGAGCTTAATCGTATTTTAGAGTTGTAGTTGCCGTTGATTATTTACATATCTGTGTTGCATCCCCGTATATCATAATAGGAACAACGATGTATCATGGAGTCGACCGAAGTAGTGGAAAAGATGATGTCTTGATGATTGTGTCACCAATAGAATGCTAATCTTTGGTTATATCTTGCCCAGGCAAGCCCCAGTGCATAACCCCTATTATTCTGCACTTTATTTTATGCTTGAGCATTAAGTTTTAAGGAGTTGAATGAAACCGCTTGCATATATATATATATATATCATATGAGTCATACTAGTATGTCAGGATCGTGTAGATTGCTCTTCTATAGGACCCGGTAGAACTTGAGTGATTACCTGTCACTCGCGAGAGATAGGAAAAATATTATTGTTGTTATTATATTACTATCACATGGAATACATATGAATGATAACTGGAGACCGAGCAGAATGGTACTTTGGATCTAGACTTGGTTAGGCATTCGAGCGAGGCTCGAATTGCATTTGTTTCGCCTATGTTGATTGAGGACCGTCCGTTGCTGTGGATGGTAGTCAGGTCATAGACTTATTATCCTGAGCACATACTTGCTTATGGGAGCGGAAAGGCTCGTTATGCTCTTGTCATGGGTTTCGGCTCTTTTCGAACTGACTGATTGAAGGCGGGGAAAAGTGGAGGTCTAAGCACTATATTGAGATCGGGTCTCAAGTATGGGGGCTTGAAGTCCAAGTTTGGATGGGGACCTGGACCCTGTGATAGGAGGGGAATGTGTTGGTCTTGTTTGTGTCTAGGATACAAGCGAGGCCTGTGTTTTGGGGTACCCAGCTGTGATACATTGATTCGCGAATAGCCGTTTCTGTGAGATGGTACGACTTGGCTATGGTCTAACACCGTAGTAAGAACTGGAATATAAAAGATGATAAAATGGCTCCGAATGCTCACCACCTGCTTGAAAGTAGCATAGGAGCTTACATAGAATGGATAGTTAATGAACTAATGATGACTGCTAATAAAATTTAATATAAGGACGCACATTTAGTAATGCTTCCGCAGATACATTAACCCACAAGCCAAATAAGCCTTGCATATCCTTTGAGTCTTTTATTTTCCTCCTGTCGGGTAAGTCTTGCTGAGTATAATCGAGTACTCAGGGTTTTATTCCCCCTGTTGCAAGTGATCAGAGAATACATAGAGCCGATTATTGTGTGTGAAAACCTCCTGGTGGGCTCAGAGAGGATTCCTTTCACACTACGACCGTAGTGTTTATTTAAAACCCTCACTAAAGGTTTTTATAAGAAAAGATGTAAAATCTGCTACCATCTCTTGTATATAAATGTCCAATATGTTAATACTCTACCATGTCATTAAATTAATCTTTGTTTTCTCTATAACTCTGATAATATTGTTATATTTCGCTGTTATAATCAATTGAGGTAATATTCTGTACTGTAATAAAGTGATGTAAGAAATGACTTAAAAATGTTGTAAGATTTATTCTCTCATTTATGATCCTGATGGAAAATGTGGATTTTCGAGTTCTCTCTTGGGGTGTGCTCGACGGAACTACATAGTTTAGTGTCATTTCTGGAGTACTTAGAGTCTAATGGAAGACAAGTACTTCTGAAAGGCATTAGATTAGGCGGTTCTACCACAATCAATCGCGCAAAAGGGGCGGGGGGCACTCATCTGCACCGCACAAACGCACACGGGGAGCACGAGCATGTGCTGCCCATTTTGATCGGTGGTGAAATACAAAGATAACATCGACGGGGCGCCACACAGAGATTTGCAACATGTGACTATTTATTACTCACTCCGTTCTAAATTATAAGTCATTTTGATTTTTATATCTATTTTGCAATGCATCTAGATATAATCCAGGTTTGATTGAACTTAATAGCCTGGCTTATCAGCCATGGTACAATATTTCTCTCTCACAACAAATCAGTGAACAATACTTTTCAACCTGGCTTTTCAGCGAAACGAACAGAGCTATGTCTAGATACATAGCAAAATGGATGAACCAAAAAAGTCAAAGTGACTTATAATTTAGAACAGAGGGAGTACTTTACATTCACATCCAAGAGAGACTGAGCGAGACGTCTTGCAAGCCACAACAAGCACATGGGACGTGGAAATACTTTCCGTAGTAAAAAAACATAAGTGTTAGTGTCCGGACGTTCGGACGAGCGCCCACATCTGGACACCCACGCACTACACTCCGTTCTGCGCTCCACGCGGGGCCCGCGTCGCCCGAGCGATAAGAGGGGAAGGGCGCGCGACGCCTCCGATTCGCAAGGACCTGGCAACGGCGTCGTATGGATGTCCTGCCGATGCCGGGAGAGATAATGCAGCAGAAGGTGGAGAGGAGAGATGCAACACTCGATCTACTTTTGAAACATCCAAAAACAACGGTTGCAACATACGTTTGATGGCAGTTGAAACACATGAAACATGCTTATGAAACACTTGAAAAACACCTGAAAACACCTAAAAACCATTGCAACCATACACGTTTGTGTGAAACATATGCAACATCCAGATAAACACAATTGCAACATACGTCTGGAAAACACAGATAAAACATACCTCTGAAACATCTAAAACACTCGAAATATACGTTTGCAACATACCTCTGAAACAAAGTGCAACATGTGCAAAATCCTCCGATCTACTTTTGCAACATCCATATGAAATAAATACAACATACATCTAAAACACCTAAAACACATACATATTCAACATAGGTGGGAGAGAGAGCCTGGCGCGGGGAGCGCCATGGCCACCGGGTGGGGGAAACACGATCGCCGAGGTGAGAGAGGGTGCCGCCAGGGGTGGGGAGGGCATCTCGCTCGGGTGGGGGAGCACCACCGACTCCCCTGCAACACCGCCGCGCCACCTCTAAAGGATCTCGCTCATGCTCCATAGATCTCGCCAGTGTGTGGAGAGGGTTGCCGGATCTGCGGCGTTGGGGAAGGACGCCGGGGTGGGGGAGGGGCACCGCCGAGGTGAGTGAGGGCGCCGGCGGCTGCCAGGGAGGCAGCCATGGTCATACGTCGGGGTATGGGAGGGTGCGCGTGGGGTGGGTGAGGGCACCGCTGCCGGTCATGGAGGGAGCGGGCAGCGCACGCAATGGAGGGGGCGAGAGGCGAGCGAGCCAGTGGATGAGTGGAGGGTAAAGTTAAATGTGCCCTTAAGGGCATGTGCTCTCACCACCTCCACCATTGGATGGATTCGTATTGAGAAGTGTGCCCACATATATCTCAATGCGACGTGTGTGTACACTTTTCAATGCGAATGTAAGGTTGGAGATGGTGAAAGCACCTGCCTTTAAAGACAGGAGGTAGCATAGTGAAGGATTTTTTTTTTCATAGCTAGCGAATGAGTGGGGAGCTGCTTACCACGCCTCGGACTTCTGGTAAGTAGCATTACCCTAAAAAATGTTAAATCCACGTTGCGTTATTAGCGTATTTGCTTGCGTCATTAGTAGTAGTAGTATACAAGCACAAAACCATTGGCAAATTATAGAGTGCACTATAATAATAGATAGACAGACCTGTAAAATGTAATATAAAAATTGGAAAATCGCTGAGACAGACAGACAGACAGGACGTGCTGCTACAGAACGTGCAACAGGCCGCGGCGGTGCGGCGCCCCCCGGCACGTCGCCGCCGCGGGATTTAATATGGAGACCACAGAAAGAGACAGGGTCCGCCATCAAACGAAGAGACGAAACCAGCGACGACCCATCAGATCGCTGCACAAACCGTCGACGCGGCAGCAGAATTGAAAAAGCGATGCTTATCCGGAGCGATGGAGCTCGAGCAGACCCAATCGCCACCGAGTCACCGACCCGGGCGCGGCACGGGACTATATATATATACCAGCCCGGCCCCGCTCATCGATCATCACAGTGAGTTCACAGACAGCATCCACAGAGACCAGAGCAGGGCAAGCAAGAGCAGAGTGTTTCTGACTGCTGAGCGAGTGAGATCGTGTTCAGTGAAGAGAGAGAGAGAGAGAGAGAGAGAGAGAGAGAGAGAGGATGGATGACATCGCGTTGCTGGTGACGGAGCAGTTCGAGAAGAATTTGAAGAGAGGCGACCCGGGGGCCGGCGCCGGCGGGGACAGCGGCAGCGGCGGCGAGAGGAGGAACTTCGGGGCCGTGGCCAAGGTGTGGAGCTCGTGGGTGGAGTCCGCCTCTGCCGCCGCGTCCGGGGCGGGGGTCAGCGTCGCCGTGCAGCTGCTGGAGCCCAAGACCGGGCTCGCCCTGGCCGCCGCCGACGGCCTCTTCTCCGCCTAGTGCTAGTGCATGTCTTTCTTTCTTCTGAGTGAGCTGTAATCGAGTCCTGCACCACACTATGCTGGTGTGTAATCTGTACATCCATTAGTCGATGCGCCTGCGCCGTAACCCGGAACAAAGATACTATTCATGTTTGCTCCAGACTATACTCTCGATTGTTTTGTTTGTCGTGACGATTTGTATGCGTGAACAACAATCGCTGTGCTACTACGAACGCCTGCACGGAAAACACCGAGCGCTTCAACGCCGCTTCACCGGATGGCTGTGGCTTCTTGAGCGCAAGTTTGCTCGGGTTGCTGCTTGGTACTGCCTTTTCAGAGCAGAAAACAAGAAATCCAAGGGCCCGATATTTATTCCACGGTGGTATACCAGCTGGTTTTTTAGAGGAAACCAGAGGGCTATTTACGTTGTCTGGTGGGCCGGCCGTGGCTGCAGTTTCAGAGCAGGCCAGCAGCCCACGGCCGCAGTAAGGGCGACGGATAACAGGCTAATCTTTTATCATGGCAAATGGAATATATAGCGACTCGCCGGCTCCAGACACCTGGTCCACGTATCATACCACACCACTCCAGGTATCACACACACAGACGAGAGTATCCATCCACTCCATACACACAAAAAGAGGTACATGGCACAGGATACTCGACTGGTAAATGTCGCTACTAAGGTAAGACAACAGCCTGTCAGCACTGCAGCACGCTGCGCGGTCACTTGTGGCGCGGCGCCGCGGCGGCCCAAATTAAAGAAACCAATGAGCCGGCACAGGCTTCATCACCTTCACGCTTCACATTTGGTTGTATGAAACACAAACACAGGGAGAGAGACACTAGCTAGCTACTGCACTTTGCATGTCGACGCTTCCAACCTGTCTGTCTACTGCTTTTCAGCGCCAACCAGCGCTAGGATCTCCGAGATGACCGTAGCTTTATCGGCCTCGAACTTCTTATCGTCTGCATTCAACAGTGATTGAAGTTGGTCTTGGAACTTATAGAATTTTGGTTAACTGGATGCATGCGGATAAATTACCGAACGTGTGCCGCTAATTTAGTAATTTACCTTTCTCCACGGTGGTGAAGTCTTTCAAGAACCTCAGGAGCTTGCTTCTGTTGGCGCGCAGTATGCTGGTGATCTCAGGTGGCTGCTCCTTGTTAGCGACGAACAGCTGCATATTTATAGGGCAGACCCGCATTTTTTTTTATTAATTCAACCAACGAGAATAAAAGTTTGCAGCAGCAGTACGTTAGGGACAGGCAGGGGATTTTGACTGACGTGCCTTGAAGACATGGAAAGCCTCTACTTGAATAGCTATGCTTTCATCCTGGCGACGTGAAACGTAACAAGCAAATAAGTAAGATAATTAAGCGTATATATGAGATTCAAAGTCTGAACCGGGAGAGCGCATTCGACCAGGGACACAAAATTGAAGTACTAACAATGCATAGCATGGTGGCTGAGCATGATTAGGATGATTGGGCAGTTGAGTTATTAAAATGCAGGGAAAAAAATCTTTACCCTTAGAAGGTTCATATGAATCATGAGGTGCTCTTTCGAACTAACATAGCGCACCATCACTGCACTGTTTGACCTTTCCAAAAGAATGTCTCGCAAGAGCTGAGAGGGATACCGTTTGCATATGGAACAAATGGGATAAGATCAAGTGACGTTCGTCAATTTATGAGTGCTGTTTGAATGTGATGGCAAGAAAACTTCAAAGTAATATATAGAGAATGCTAAACAACGAGAAGGGAAAGGAGCGTACTTGAACGGCTTGCCTTCGGATGAAGTAGTTGGAAGCAGATAATATCAGTTTCGAGTTGAATTCCGCAAAGAACTGATACATACATGCATAGCTTACTACAGTTAGAGATTACAATAATCTGTGCTGCAAATAAAGTTACAGAGAGGTATATATTGATCATTGTAACCTGCAAGTCACATTGTTATACGCCTTTTTTATGTTATATTATATATGCAAACAAATACAAAACCATAAGTATTAATTAGTTTTGCACTTACCCAATCATAATTCTTGGAAAAGAACTCAGCAACACTTGATTTATGCCGTGTCATGAGTTCCTGTTAAACAAATTAAAGAACAAAAACTGTCACTCATTAAAAGGGCGGTAAGACTCTACCGCTTGCACTAGGCCCGCCCTTCAACAGATTTAACAGAAGTATACTTATATATATATGGATATACTTTATAATTATTAACAATTATCAGGTGAGGGCAAAGCATAACGTAATCAGACGATGTTGTCTTTTAGTTCTAAAGGGCAAAGGCATGCATATACTCACCTTAAAAGTTTTAAAGACATCTGATTGTATATTGAAGTCTGGAAACTGTATATGATCAAAGAAAGTCCTGAAGTGTGGAGATTCCAATACGTACCTACAAAACAATCACTGATTACACTAAACAAAATAATTTAACGTATGAGTTTGAAGCATCACATGTCATTAACATTTTTTAATCATTGTAAATGACAAAGATTATTGCACATACCTTGCAGCAACTTGGTGGCGTATGCAATCTCTCAATAGAGTACTATAATGTATTGCGATGTCCAAGTTTTCGTACCTTCAAGTTGGTGGAACTAATACCATGTTATTTCAAAAATGATACTCACATATTTCAATCAATTTTCAGATAGTCTCTAAATGAAGAATAGAAAGGATAACCGATTTGATTTTAGAAGATTATATTATATAGTTTGAATACTATAGTTATATAAATGCACATGCACATTAAGATAACTTAAGGCCATCTATGTGCACATGAAAAATAACTTAAGGCCATAGAGATGATCATGAGTTGACTAGATACTTACCCAGACATCAAAATATCCAAAAGATCCAAGTTAGCTTCCAAGTACTCGGAGGCAACCAATCTTGAATCAACCTTTTGCCTTTGCAGATTTGCAATCACTTGAGTAACATCCTTTTGTGTCTGAGGAAAAATTATAAGTATTTTAGAAGTGGTGTTTTTTACTAGAACAAAACGTGATTAGAAGAATTTTTTTTCAAAATTTTTAGATATTGACGTACTTCCAAGTCCACGTATTGAAGGGAAACAATTAGTTGACGGAAGGTGTCAGTGTTCTTCTTGAAGAACTCCTTAGTCAATTGCTTGCAAGCTTCTTCACAAGGATCTTCTTCGCCATTACCGTAGAGAATGCCTTTCATCTCCTTGATTCCTTTGCTTAGTTCTACCATCTGCAAGCCAATCATGTGGATTTAATTGCTACTTCAACAATTTGAGAATCAAAGGCCATTTTTTGTTATTTTTAAACCTGTATTTCTGCTTATTGAAACTAACAAGAGACAAACCAAAAGCAAAAGTTCCTAGTCGCTTCAATGTGTAAAGAAGCCCCTACAATCATCCTCAACAAGCAATTCGGAAGATGCATTACAATAAATATCTTGCATGCAGCATAGACAACTTGCATTGGTTATTTCATCTCTATATATGAAGTTATACGCTACTTGATGTATAGTGTCCTTTTCATCACATTTTTGTAAGTATGATAAAACATTTACAGTTTTTTCACAACGACAACAAAAAAAATTAAAAATAAATATGGACTTTTACCATCTATTAATTATTAGGAACAGTAAAATATTCAGGTTTCTAGTTCTCTAGTACAAACCAAAGCAACCACGGGGTGTATACGTCTTGTGCTGAAAAAAAGGAATAATTCTACCGGAAAATCTCCTGATATATAATTGCACGAATGGTAACTGCTCCAATGCAGTGACACAGACACTGGCGTCAAAAGATCATGCACTATAAACGGAAGCAAGATCAGAAACGGACAAATCTATCCCTAAAGCAAGAACAGATGAAACGACACGAATACATTTATCCCTAACAAGCATCGATACAGTTGTAAGTTGCAAAGGTCGGTTCGCAATAATCGCTTTACTGGGAAGCAGAAAACAATTACTTAGTATATAATACATGTACGTACACGGATGGGATCGGGAAGCAGAAAATAATTACTTAGTATATACATGTACGTACACGGATGGGATCGATAAGCATGCAATGCAAGCTGCAGGAATTCAAAGGCGTGTTACCCTGTGCTCAAGCTTGGCGTCGCGCTTGCCGCCGCAGCAGCCGTCCTTGTTGTCGAGGACGTAGGTGACCAGGTCCCTGACGTGCTGCACCACCTCCGCGGGGGTCCTGGGCTTGGAGCGGAACAGCCCCGCCTTCCGGTGGCCGGCCCCATCCCCAGCCACTGCCGCTCCCACGCACGGCCACAGGCACCCCGTCATCGAGATCGACCAACCTGTCCGATCGAGGATCGCGCTCGCCTGGACGGCCGCGGGCTAGACTCTCCGCTCTCCGACGAGACCGCCGCCGCTGGCGACGTACGTGCGTCGTCCAAGACCTAAAAGATGTCTATAATCAATCAGGGGCGCTGACCCAATAAAGGGCAGGTACAATGTGTATACACCCGATAAAAAAAATATAGGCATAATACATGTATACACTTGTGATTAGATCAGATCCGAATACATATACGAAAATTGCTTAAATCAGGGTTCGGGTGCCAGTTTTGGACAGCAGAAAGGGAAGAGAAGTGGCGGGATACCTGGTGGCTGGGGTGGGTGCTCGTCGCCGGCAAAGGGCCCGACGAGGACCTTTGCCAGCTGGCCGTAGGCCGGCGGCGGTCGCCCTAGTCGTCGCGCAAGCGAGGCGAACGGGAAATGAAAAACGTGTGAACACAGGAGGACAGTTCTTCCTGGGCTTCTCCGACCGCTACTGGGCCGAATTGTCTTTTTTTTTTAAGTCCACGGTATCTCTCTCAACTTTTGCGAAAGTTTGTTTTTTCTCCCTTAACTCTAAAACCTGGTAAACCATCTCCTTGAACTTTTAAAACCATTCGTTTTACCTTCCTGATCGGTTATAAGCGGTTTTCAAATGCGGTTTTTGTCTTTTACCTCCCTGAGGTGGTTTACCTGGTTTTAGAGTTCAACGAGGAAAAGCAGACTTTCACAAAAGTTGAAGGAGGTAATGCGGACTTTTTCCTTTTTTTTCTCCCTCTTTTTCTTCTTTCGCAGTTGACACAGATAAATAGGTTGGTTACTTAGGGAGAACGGCCCATGAAACTGGCTCATTCTTCTCAGTTTCCTCCTCCTTTTTGTCCATTCTCTTTTTTTTTTTTTTTTTTGCCATGACACTTGGTTCTTCTTTTTCTGGAATTTTGGTGTTTTTCTTTTGCTTCCAACTGTTTTCATTATTATAACTCTTGTCATTCATCTCTTTTTTTTTTTTTTGCAAATCCACTAGTGAAGCTCCCCTTGTCATTCATCTCTTTTTTTTTTTTGCAAATCCACTTGTGAAGCTCCCTCTTTTAATAACCACCCTAGGGATAAATTTTGTTATTAGTCTTTCTTAAATTTGTGCCCAATTCAGTTTTATAATCTTTTTATTTCACATAAATATGTCATGAGCTTTTTTCTCCTAAATCTAGAGCACTCCTTTTTGTGATGTTGGAAAAAAAATTCGTGATGTTGGAACAAACTTCCCCGTGAAGCTGCAAATTTCTTTTTTGACGCTAAAACATTTTCCTTGTAAAGCTAGAAAATTTTCGTTATGAAGCAAGAATATGTTATTATTTAACAAGAACTTTTTTTCTTTTTATTAAGCTGGGATGGCGCTACGCAAGTAGTCGAGCGGCGAGAGGCCGACGCACGTGCCAAGGATGAGCTGCAATGGCGTATGGTGCGAAGTCAGCAAGTCTCCAAGGCATCAGCGGTTGATTGATCAATGACGGAGCGCGAACGAGCAACACTACCATTTGACGGGGGGGAGAGGTGAAAGAAAATGAATTAAGGGGAGAGGGAGATATTGTGAGACTGAGGCCTTTCTTGATTTTCCATATGGCAACCCACATTGGAATTGTAGAGATACTTTTATTTAGACTGAATTAAATAATAAATTGTTCAATATTTCGGTTCATGATTTGATTGGTTGAACCATTGGCTAATCCAAAGTTAAATAAGCATAAGTCTTATTTCTAATCAAAGCTACATTAACAATTTGGTGGTGAAGATATTTGTTTTCTAGAGAAGGTCAATGGTCACGTCATGTTGTATTTATTATTTATTTTTACGTCTACAAAAACAAAAAACAAAAAAATAGCAGAGCATAGTCGACGGGTCGAATCCAGCGTTCAGATGGGCTGGGCGGGGTTGACGCGCAATTGCGGCCATTGTGCAAGGGGGACAATCTCGAGTGCTTGCTGTAAACGGAGCTTGTTGCGTCTTTTCGTGAGAAGGATGCACAAATCATATGGCCGTAGATCGGCAGAGAAGCAGATGATGAACATCGTCACGTGAACACAACTGCCAGGCGACGGCTCGAATCCAGCTTTCACATGGGCCGGGCGGGGCGGACACGTAATTACGACAATGGTGCAAAGGGGACAGTGTCGAGCGCTTGGTGTAAACGGAGCTTGTTGCATCTTTTCGTGAGAATGATGCTCTAACTCACTGCCTCCTCAGACCTCAGGACACCCCCAACCTTATGACTACCTGGCTGCGCATCGTGTAGTCACCGAACACTACGCCAACCCCCAACTCAGGGAAATGCTAGACACGTGTTTCTCACCAGTGGCATCGAGCCCGTACATATCTCCCACGTCATGAGGCGCAATAAAATTACCTGTTCGGCGGTTGCCTATTGTCTATAAACAGGAGTAACCCATGCTCACGAGTACTTCGTATTATACTACACAGGACAACCAAGTCTACACTGCACAAACCCCTAAACCGATCACAACTGCCTCGCTAAGCCGTGGCCGCATAGTCCTCGTCCTGTTGTGTGCTGAGCTAGCTGCGTCGCGGGCTCGCCTCCTCGCCGGTGTCGACACCACAGCTGCTGGCATCCATGACGGGTGGTCTCCCAACTAGCTTTCTGTCGTCGCCGCCGGCGTCCCTCCTAGCGGGTAGCATTCCACCACCGCCGGCACCCTTGGCAGGTGGTCTCCCAGCTAGAGTTTTGCGGCCGCCCCTCCTAGCTAGTAGCATTCCGCCATCGCCGGCACCCCAACGGGTGGTCTCCCGGCCAGCGTTCCGCTGCCACTGCCCCTCCTAGCTGGTAGCATTCCACCGCCACCGGCCGTGTGCCCTGAGAACGGTATTTGGGCAAGTCCATTACTCTTTGCACTGTTGTCTTGCGTGGGTGGTGGAGGACTCGTGTTTGTGGTGTATGCGACAGGCATCACCCTCACCCTGCGCTGCCTTAATATCTCCAACACTACGACCCATAATAGGAGACCCTACGTTGCCTTACTATCTCCAACGATATGACCCATAATAGGAGACCCTGCGCTATAGTGCACACATCCCAATGCACATCCAATGGTGCATTGGGTAGGGGCATATGCCCCTAAGGCCAAATTTAACTTTCCCCGAGAAATATCGGGTGCGGTACTACAAGGTTGGCTCGATGGCGGGACTAAGGTGAAGCTAGTCTCACCTTCCACGCTACAATGATGACGACCGCAAGATCATCCGCCATGTCCATCGCAGCCCCAATCATGGCCCTAGTGGTGTTGTCGGCCGTGGCGTCGCTCCGTTTGTGTCAAAAAGTCCAGCACCAGTTGCTCTGTTCAGACTCTCGTCAGGCAACCCTACCCCTTTGAGCATATTCGGAGACTGGACCGATAAAGACTCGAGATTGGCGTCCCCCATCTTGGCCCCGGTCGTGGAGTTGTCAGCACCAGTTGCTTCGTTCAGACTCTGATCAAGCAATCCTACCCCTATGAGCATTTTCAAAGACTGAACCTGCAAATACTCGAGATTGGCGGACCCCATCGAAGCCCCGGTCGTGGAGGTGGCAGCACCATTTGCTCCGTTCAGACTCTCATCAGGCAACCCTACCACTATGAGCATCTTCGAAGATCGATCCGGCAAATCCTCAAGATTGGTGGCCCCCATCCTGGCCGCGGTCTAGACTCCACGACCGGGATCGCGATGGGTCCGTGGCCGACCTGGCGGACGATCTTGCGGCCGTCATCATTGCAGCATAGAAGGTGAGACTAGCTTGACCTTAGTCCCGCCATCAAGCCAACCTCGCAGTACCGCACCCGGTATTTCTCGGGGAAAGTTAAATTTGCCCTTAGGGTCCATTTGGATGTTGGCATTGAAATTGAGTCAACGGAATTGGGCTCCAAATGAATACCATGATGAAATGGTATTGGACTGTGATTCCATTTCTAAGCATTTGGATGTAGTAATTGGTCCAGGGAATTGAACGTCCTCCGATGCTCCATCTACCTTCTGGCCAGTGAGCCATGCCCTCTCCTCCCGCCGACGACCCTGTACCCTCCAAACCACGCCCTCTCCGCTACTGAGCTCCGCCCCTCTTGTCTCCACGCGCGGTGAACTCGTGGAGCCTCCACCCACCGGCGACCTCCTCCCCTTCAACGCCACGGATCTACATGAGCACATGCCAGCAAGCTCGCGAAGTCTCCCACTAGTACAGAAATGATTTTTGCAGACGCCTCCCACTTCTGTTAGAGGCGGACAACATAAGAAATCACTTCTAACTATGATGGAGAGCACCGTAGCTCATGAACCGCCCGGAGACAGTTCTGTTAAGAAAACTGTCTCTAAAAATATATCTATTTATACAAGTGGTTATATTAAGGCAACCGTCTTTAAAAGATGATTTTTAAAGACGGTTACGTTACATCAACTTCTAAAGATGCGTGAAAAAAGACCACGTGTGGTCCAAAACTTTAGCCCGCCTGCGTAGTTTGAACGTGTTTCTCAGTTCCACTTGCATGTGCATGGGACCCATGTTGTCTCTTTGGAAAAAAAAAATGGGGTACGGATGGACCGTACCTGTCGTTGTGCGGACTCCCAATCAGGGCGCGACGCGTGGACGACTACGAACCGGCTCGCTTTGCCTCCATCCCTATCTGCTAATTGGCTCGGCTCGTCGTGGTTGAGCTTGTGCGCGCTCGGCTCCAACCTCACGCAAGCCAGTCCGTTCCTCAATTGTCCGCCAACAACGCCGTCTTTTCTGGGATCACGAACGCCACCATCACGCAGGCACGCAGCAGATCAGGACTGCCGCTGTCACACGGCAACGAGTGAGCACGATCGGAAGTTTCTCATTCAAAGAGGAAAGAAGCATCATCACACGGCAGCGTGCAGGAAGGTTTCCAATCCGCGCGGCCATCAATTGCATAGCAGGCAGCATGGAGGTTAACCCTGCCCTCAATGCTGATGCTATTGTTGATGTTCCAAAAGGTGACGAC